TCTCCTTCCTTTTTCTCTTTTTCCCTCTATACAAGAATCTGCTTCGAATTTATCTGAACCTGTGCAAAAAAATCAATTTAAGGAATCAATCAACTCTGGTGTTCCACTTGTCACTATAGCCCTATTCGGTGATCAGTTCAAAAATTCGAGAATTGCACAGAAGCATGGATTTGCAGTTAACCTCAAAAAGGGGGCGTTAAATGAGGCCTCTATTGTGGCAGCACTCAAAGAAGTCCTCAACAATGAGAAGTAAGTGCTATATTAAGGAAACCAACCTTTCTCAGAATTTCCATATTGGATCCAATTAATCTTCCAAATCTAGCCTGCAACATTATTTTTAATTTCTAAATATCTAGCAATGATCGTGTAATCGCACAAGCATTGAAAATTTGTTTGTTGTAATGATGATCAGAAACCATGTGGTTCACTCGACAATATCATTATGGATACGTAATCTGAAAGACCGTACTTTAATTATACAGTTGCATTTTAACTTCAGCACTTACTATGTAACTCCAGGTACTCCCAAAATGCCAAACGACTCTCGTTAATGGTGCGTAAGAAGCCAGTCAGTCCGGGACATTTGCTTGTAAAATGGACAGAATTTTTGGCTGAGTTTCAAACGCTCGATAATCTCGTTCCAGCAGGAAATAATCTGAACTTCTTCCAGTACTTCTCTATAGATGTGATAGGTGCATTGTTACTTGTTATATTTGTGATACTATTTATAGTTTACAAACTATCAGCTCTGATTATTTGTAAATGTGTTCGCGTGTCTAGAAAAGAGAAAAGAGAATGATTATTTATTTATTATTGAAGAACTCATCTAATTAAATTCAAAATAAAGAATTGTACTCAATGTAACCATGGAAAACCCTACTTATGCTTTTTAAGCATTGTTGATTATTGACTACCTAGAAAACCACCCAGATGTTCCAGCAAAGTAATACTTGGTCCTAATCCTCAAGCAAGATTGGGGTAATTTTCACTGTGCTTACGTTATCCCTCTCGCCTTCCTTGGAGTTTGGAAAGTAAGTAGCAATTAAAGTAAAGCCTCTGCCTCTTCCTAAGTCTTCTCACTAGAAAAAAAATCAGAAATTCAGGAAAGTTAGACAAAATCTTGACTAGACAAGTTGCTGTCCACCCAATTTAGCAAGGCATTAATTATGACAAGCACTCTTCTATCTTGTTCAATTTTAGACTTCTCGCGAATTCAACGAGCTCTATAGGACTTGCACGCTGCAATTTCCGTTTAAAAGTGACCAAGTAGTTTTATTATTCAGAATTACTAAGTCTTTACTAATTGTTCGTGACTCTCCTCTGACTCTTATTTTCGCTCCATGTTCTCATTTTCATATGCTGCCTACAATTTGGAAGCTTTCTTTGACATATAATATTACGCCCACCCTTTCTTCAAGCGTTTGAATTTCGGAGTTTTGAGTTGAGAGATGGAATGACGCGTGAACACGAAGTGGTATCTTCAACACGTGCTAACGACTATTTCTGAACTTCGCCAAAAAATGATTGTCCTCTTTATAGGGCCAATGCTGTTTTACAGTGTTGTTGAAAGCTGATTCATTT